CATAGACGACCGACCATGAGTGACAGACCTCCAAGTATGTTCAACAAAGACGGACCACCATAGTCTTCTTCGTAGCCTAATCTCCCAAGGCGGCAGGTTCCAACCCTTTGGGTCTGCATTAAGACCTAAGGACTGCGCCATCCCGAGCAAGGAGGCAGCCATCGACCACGCAGAAGGGTTCTCGACCGAAACAGAATCAAAAGATGCCTGATTTAACAGCAAGAGAAAGATCTGAACAGTCGAGAGTCGCGGGAAGTGCAACTCCCTCTGAAGACAGATGTATGAGATTTGCCATAGCGCATCAACGCTAGGTTTCGTATACGCATTGTTCATACACAGCGTCTCATCCCATGGCGTGAAGGGCAAAGCAAGCATGTAGATCCCCGCCAACAGCCCCGTTGGTGCCTCTGCAACAAAGTTTTCTACGTCTGGGAGAATACGTGACCGAGAGAGGATGGGCAATGCTTGGAAGACAAATCTGAAGTATCTGTGGAGAGTCAGTCCGCCCATATCATTGTGAGAGCCAAAGGGGTGGTTTACAGCCTGACTAGTGAGGTTCCAGTGTCCTTGTCGACGATAGTTTCCAACCTCTCCCGCTCATCTACTTTGGGAAGACACTCGCCAAGGACTCTTTGCGATTCAGCGGCTGTTCCAGTCTGGCTTTGCAAGAAGTGAAGTGGCTGGCTCTTGTCACCAGTGACCTTTCGGTAAGTGACTCTGAAGAAGTCAATCTCGTCTTGGTCATTGTGAGGAAAATGATTTACCAAGAATGGATCAGATTCGTTCGAATGTCCGATTAATGTGGTGGAGTGATTCGGACGTTCGTCTAATGAACTTCTTTCGCGAACACAGTCCATGTCTGGTGATTTCATAGCCGCATGTGTTGCAGGTTGCAAAACGCCTTCGTCGCTAGTAATTACATTATTTTCTTGGGGTTGTAGGAATGCAGCCGTTGAGTCTCGAAACTCCAGATTCTGGGCCAATGGGTCGTTTCCCAGATCCCAGTTCAAGGGGCTGTTACTGGGCCAGATAAATTCCGAGACGGCATGTTGGTCATCGGCAGTATTATCTGCAAGATGATCAGCAAATTTGGCGGCGTGTTCATTTATTTGGTAAAGGTACTTGTCATATTTAACATGTCTTGCTGTGCTTCCAACATTAGACCCGGTGATAAAGTCATCACATTCTCAGTGGGCGATTGACTTTGTGTTCCAGAAACAAACGCAGGAGAGACAGCTTGACGGCCCTTCGGCCTCCTGCCGGGGTTACCAACAAAGGTGCATTCCCGACCAATTCTCTTGCACAGCTGGCAGGGCTGCAATGGGTCTGGAATGTTGCACAACGCCTTGCGTGCGCGACATAGGTCACATGGTCGCTGGGCCTTGGACCGATAGCGTCTGGTCCCCGCTACTGTCGGATCTGTGGCTGCTGAAGATGCACTCATGATGCAGAAACAATGACTGGGGAACTCATTCCGAAGATCGGCTCAAATGATGCAAGGAAAATGGCGCAAGATAGTGTCAGCGGATGATTGTTGATCCTATTCCAGGTAGTCGTCTTCTCGTCGCAACAACAAAGTCTCGTTGGAAGACGCCTCTTGAAGTACGATAGCATCGTCTCTAACTCAGTGCGGTTGGCTTGCTATGAGGACAGCAACTTCAGAGGAGACTGTGGGCAACTTTCGCAACTCAAACTCAAACCAAGACACAGTGTCCACTTACCCCTGACACTATGCGGACATCTTACCCCACGTCCGGCTTCATCCTGGGACCTCCACAAGTTCCGTCAAGACCTGTCGTGAATTTACATCAATATTTGAGTCGAGGCGGTCGAATTTGCGGAAAAGAGCAATAGAAACTTATTTGTACTCTTACTTTATCTTAGTCGAATGGCACCTTGTTCACAGCAGATGGAAGTCTTCTTATATCACACCAGGCGAGGTGCTCGATGAGGCCTCTTCTGGTATTTTCCAGCTAAAAGGTAGATTCGAGTTGGCAGTACACCAGGCTGCCAGGTATGTATATATTGAAGTTGTAATTCTTTGTACAAGATTGAAAATAAAGGTTTCCCTCACCTGAAGCCCTGCTTCCGCAATGCATTGCAGGGCTGCCTCGCTCAAAGAGCGTTACTGCATTCGGCCCTACAGCTTTAAGACCGCTTAGGAGCTATTCATAGCAGGGACGGTGATCTTCTCAATGGTCCACTACAAACAGATCAGTACTTGGTTCGAAACAATATTTCCATTTGTAACATACCGTCTTGCCGCCGTCAGCGGTAGCAATGCCAGAGTACGTGGCGCCGGACTCGGTGTAAGCGCCATCCTTGTAGGCAGCATCCTTCTCGGCGAAGACAATGGTGGTGTTGGTGTAGTACTGGGGCTCAACGGTTCCCGTGGGGGCAGCTTCGTTGTTGTCCTGCAGCTCAATGGCTGTGTTCCACAGAGTCATTTTTCCGGACTTCTTCTGGTAGGTAGACAGAAGCTCGCCGGTGACGGCGTCAGTCATGGTCTGCTCCCAGAGGTAGGTCGACTTGTCGATCAGGGTGTAGTTGAAGATAATGCCGTTCTCGTAGTTGGTGTCGGCGGTTCTCTTGTCTCCGACAAACTGGACAGTCGCTCCGGTGCTGTCGAGGCCGTAGACCTCAGAGGAGATGCACCAGGTGGAGTCGGCCGCAGAGCCGGTGCACTCGCTCATGCCAGCGGGGTATGAGCCGACGATGCTCTGGATCAGATCACCGGTCTCGGCTCCGATGCCGATCCAGGCGAACATGTAGCCCTTCTGGCCAGACGGCATCTTGCCAGGGTAGATAGTGCTAACGGTGCTGATGATCTCGGAGGTCGTGGCTTGGAAGCCAGCGATGGGACCCCAAGTAACATCGCGCTTGTTCAGGAGGGGGTTGGCAGTGGCAGTCGAGCCGATCAGCGCCAGGCTGAGGATGAAAGACTTGGGGGCAATCATCATGAAGGTGGGTCTCTTCAAGGGAGGAAGTGAACGTAGGTAGTTGGAATAAAGGAGTGTGGCGGCTCTTGGTGGCCTAAGGTGTGGTTGAATTGAGAAGGCTGAATGGAACTGATGCTTAGTATATGTTCAAGCCCAAGAAACGTTCCGACGACGATCTTTTGTCGTCTCTCTGAGTCAATTTAAACCTATTTCTATCTGCAACTTCAACCCGCCCAACTCGCAACTTGCGCGCAACTCAGAATCGCAACTAACCCAATGATCGGCACACCGGCAACGAACCCCAGTTATTGCCCTTCAATCTCCCACTCTGGGTTCGCGCCGGGCCCTGTTCGAATAGAGTGGGCTTCCGCTTTTCGTGAGCTTGATTGTCGTTCTCAATTAATTTTAATTTAATCCCTTGTGCATCTCAGGGGTAGCTCTGTGGGTGGGACGGAAGGTGGGGTGACAAAACAAAAGTGCATCGTCAGCATGGTTTCTCGGACTCGGTCTGGACGCCGACACTCCCCGTGGCAATTGGTACTTGCCTGGACGCGATGATAACGGCTGCATTTGACTGTTGCAAGAATTCTCCGTTGATACGTTCTATGTGCATCGGGCTCAGAAGAAATGTATTTGAATGGAATGTTGATGGGCTCATAACGATGGTCCTGGCTTTGAGTTTGCAAAGCAGTGTCAAAAGAATAGCAGGGCTCTCTGTTGGAGAACTGGCCGGTCGAACTGACCTTGAGGAGCGTGATGGAACTTTTCGTAATTTTGAAGAACGAACGGCCGGGAAATGGACGCATGTGTGGGCGTCTCTATGATTTGTAGCATTCTCCATACGATGACTGGTCGCAGAACTCAATTTCCACATGTCCCTGTCTAAAAGTTCGGACTGGCCCCAATTGTTGCCAACTTGAATATTCACTCACAACTAATAAGCCCGGTATGTATGGTTTCGATGATGGTGCTGTAATAAGCTCAATTCTGCTCGTCTCTCAGGAGGTCAAGGATCAACTGGTTCGGGATCCCAATTCCGTAGGTCTCTCGTAGTTGCTGTAGTACAACGAATTCTTCCGTCCTTCTTGGTGGTCAGATATCCAAGTCAAGCCTGGGCCATCAGTGTCCGAGGAGGACTACAACAAGGGGGATCGTCTGCCTGCAACAGTCATCCTTGTTCCGAATTGGGTATCGAAAAGTTCTGGAACACGGAGATAATTATTCCGCAACTAATCAATACATGCGCAGCTGAAACTAACGAAACGGAGTAGGCAGCAATTGACGAATCTGACCGTGCAAACATCCGTGAACAGTGACAGTGGGAGAACTGCCATCAATCACAAACAACCTCAAGCCTCCATCGCCCTTGAATAATTCTTAACTGTTTGTCTGGACATTTCAAAGACTGGGCTCCACCGCTCTCACATCATAAACATTCCTGCTTCTCCTGGAATATCTTGGGTGTCCTCAACGTCTTCCATCTCTAAGATGCAGTCGCCTGGAAGCCACCGACGCGCGTGGATACTGATTGACGGATTCGTAAGTAATACCTTCAAGATGTAACCAGGCCGGCGAAGGTTTGCATTGTTCACGAGATCCCTCAAGAATTCGACAAACTTGCCAAACTGTTCAGCATAATGCCCTTCTTCCATGAAGGAAATACCGTCCACGATGACGAATACTGCTTTCCCAGCCGCCGCTGAAAGTAGCAGATCAAACAGAGAGCAAAGCACACGCGGCTGCTGTGCCTTAATGCCTTCAACGACGTTCATATCGATTTGAGAGAGATCGACATGGTCTTGTGTAACCGCATTTGCAAGCTGATAGTTAAGACAGCGGATTATCCCAGTTGGTCCGCTGCAACTGTCGTTGGGTGAGTTGTGCTGGCCACAAAGGTGGAGTATGGAAAAACTGCGTTCCGGATGTTGTGATACGCTTGCCGAGAGGAAGCAGGAGAGCAACGTGAGAGGGGAAGTCGCTTCCTGTTCCGCGTTGAGTTGCATTCCTCCGTTTATGATCAAGATTTGTGACATATTGGATTGAAGCCACATAACAAATCTCTCATTCCTGAGCATGCTCAATGCGTGGTTTATCAAGCCAGGTGCACAGGCATTTTGAACATCGATTATGGCTGTTTCCATGTCCTTACGCACCAATTGAGGTTCAACATTGAGGATGTCTCGAAGTTGATTGAGATTGATGAAGGTTTTGAAGAGAACGATGGCCTGTGGGTTCTCTGGTTTCAATCCCGTGAGCGTCCGGTTGCCATGAATTTGGTCATTATTGACGTACCATGTCTCCACTGAGCATATGACACAAGACTGTTCAACTGGCTCTGCAAAGTCCGGAGAGCGTTCTCTTGTCGCCCCAGACGTCGGTGCAGATTGACTTGGACAGTTTCACGGAAGATTACAACCTTGTCATTGATGTTTTTCTTGATCGTCTCTTCTTCTAGTTTAGCACCAAATGTTGCAGGGAGCAACAGTACTTTGAAAGCGCGCTCTATGAGTTTCTGGGTTAGCGAATCCACTGCCCTCCAGGTTGGCGTATAAATGTACCAAAAGCAGATTCGTCGATCCACTGGAGCATTCCCTCAACTCCATCAAGTATACCTATGTATAGGTTCTCTGCAGCACTCCATACTTTTGGGTCCGCGTCGTAGATATTGACGTAGGCCTCCGTTTGCTCAACGATCTCAGGTAGACTTTCGAGACAGGCCAATATCTTCGTCCTCACCTCATCCAGCCTTTTGGCTGCCTAATAGATAGGGCATGTGAGTACTTGTATGCAAATCTCAAATAAAAAGGGACGTACGAAGAACACAAAGGTCAGTGCTCCGCACAGCACTCCTGCGACCCCATCGTTGGGAAGAAAGTTCAGCAACATCTCCAAGTTCGATGCGCTTTTTTGCAGGGACCTTCCTGCAGCTTTGAACGGGTTCTTTCGCCATCTCGTCTTCTCTGCATCCTTATCAATCGCTTCTGACGCTATTCGTTTCACATCATCCCATCCATGTTGACCATTGATGTGGAATTTCTTCAAATCCTCGCGCTTGGCGTGTTTGACGAAGGTTTTCACGAAACCCCAGAAAGAGTTCGTTCTCTCCTGAGCTCTGTCATTTCCTGTCAGTCTTAAACACAATCAATTTATGGTGACGGTATCTTCAGGACATTATGTAGTACTGACCTTTCAGAAGCCTGCTGTTGGCTTCTTCGTTCGGCAAGCTTGTTGGTGGCCGAGATCTGCCAGCTTGGGTCAATTTCGGAGGCTCTCCTCACCATGTACGTGTCTACATGTGCACTCATGATGTGAGACTTTCAGCAATAAAGTCACAAAATCGGAGGTGTCCTTCCGCACTACAAACACGTCAGAACTGGATTCGGCTGGTGATTATGGTCCTTGGTCAGAAATCCAGAACCTCGAAGTTTAGTTCTTTTTCTGCCGCCCATCACTTCATCAAAATACCGTTCACGGAATCAGGCTGGAGAGATGATGGGTAATACAAGGGCTGGGGATCAGGATGAGGGGAGTGAGGGGTGCGGCGCTAGCCATAGCAACAAATGCAGACGGCGGGCAACTGCTGATTCCATTGGCTCAAATGATCTCTTGTCATCCGCATGGTAAGCAGTAAACCTGTCCCATGTCGTATTACGCGCAGCTGAGCATGCATGTTGCTGGCGAGGCAAGGGTAAAGCGCTTATGTTGGTGTGGTAGACCAGGCTGCCGGGGGGTTGTTTGAAGCGGACATATCAGCGGAGACGATCGCCTTCAGGACGCTGTCCCACAAACTCTCTTACCTTCTTTTGAGTCTTGACAGATCGCTAGATAAGGCACGTCTGTTAGAAGTCAGCAAACCTGCGAACGGTCCAGGAGTTCTGTCGCAACATTCCGCATTCGAAGAAACCAAAGTCGAACTGCCCTGCTGCGCACCCTTTCCTCGAAGCAAACACAACAACAATGGCTGCCCCATCACCCAAATACCGCCCATCGAGTCCCTTCGCCGCCCCGGCATACGATCTTGCTCTTTCATCGATCGGCGATTCCAGCTTCATCTCAGAAAGTGGCCATATGGACTCAGAGAGCAAGGCTACTACCCCATCTGCTTCTCCTGTAAGATCAGACCACAGACGATATCTGAGATGCTCAACGTATTGACCGTGCCGATAGAAGATGATTGAAAGCCGAATCTATCCTGATGTGCCTGACTCTGCTGGCCTAACGGATGAGGCAGATGATGCCAGAGAAGAATTTGTGAATGGGTCCGCAAGCCCAGATGACGACGAAGATGACAGAAGTGTTCACTCGGCTGTGCCAAGGGTCGCCATAGGATGGAGACTACGCGATATTGCCAGCCGCCTCAGAAATTTCAAGAACGCTCCGCCACAATCGGGGACGGCGACGCCTGATCCTGACAAAGACAACATTACGACCTTGCAGCGCCACGTGGAAATGATGGAGTGGGTTTCGGGATTGTTGAACCAAGTACCATCCGAAACGGCCTCGTCAATTGGCGAGGAACCGGAAAGGTTCATATACATTCCGAAGCTACACGGGGTTAAATGGCGCGATTTCGTAGTGCAGCCTCCACCACATGTACCAACTGGAGACGAACCGACACCTCACACTCACTACGCGGTCTCCTTTCTGGATGGGGAGTTTCCCAATCGAAGGCGCGTACCAGGAGCCAACTGGTTCGAGGAGATTGAGGAGGCTCCTCCTCCCATTGATGTCGCTTCCGGACGTCCTGAAGGCGTCAAAAGCCTTCCACCGGTCATTCATGTGAACTCTTTGGCTACACGAAGGCTCCTTGCTTCAGTCACTGAGGTGACAATCAATGTTGATGCACCCAGAGGGCAACTTGTTATTTATAGACCCTACAAAATTCTGGTTCATTTCGACGATCAAATTCGCAGGCAATTTGCTGAGATCGAGGATCTTATTTCCAAAGCAGGTCGAGGCCCTCCAGCTAGGAGTGGTGACGCAAACGCCGACTCTCTCAGAGAGAAGAATGAAGGGATCAAGACTGAGAACGTCACCGGCGAGAAAGAAAGTGATACTTCAGGCGCTGGTAAGCCTTTGCCTCGTATATCACTATTTAGGCCCGCAAGGCTGAAGGAGCATACGTACGAGGAGCTCCAGGAAGCAAGAGCAGACTTCGCCGCGCTGGTTGAGTTTATGGACAAATTTTTGTCTCCTTTATGCAAAGCTCTTAAAGATGCCAAAGAGATGCGTGTCAGCTTCAATGAATTGTGGCACCTCTATATGCCTGGGAGCCTGGTATATGTCAAAGATCCTGGTGTGCCTCAAAAGCTGTGGCGTGTCATTCAAGGCACTGATGGAAGAGTCGGTGCATTCGCACCAATATTGCACCCCACTCATCCAGGGTTCTTGAAACTTGGAGGCAGGGCCAGTGCTAGCAGAGCATCACCCATGAGATTGGACTGCTACTACGTGGACTTCAACGGCACTCATTACGTCCGGGTTCTAAAGCGGTTTCAGATCGAACCGTTCAAAGAATTCGTGAGCATTAGAGGTCTCTCCATTCTGCCTCTGAACGTTGCTGAAACCGAAGGCTTGGTGGACATTGAAGACCTTCGACGACAGAGTGAAGATTTCCTATCTTACACCAAGCCCTCGTACTGTTATTTCAGAGGTCGAAGTTATGTGCATGAACCGGAAGGCACTCTCATGCGTCGGCCAGCAGATACAATGATGGGCTCTGTAGCCGTGTTGTCTGAAGCCATCGAAAGTCCTGTGGTTGTGGACTTCGAGCGCTGCCTGCAAACAATACCCGACTGGAAACCATGCAGAGAGCCAAGAGAACTATTTTCACACAACAAAGACATCGGACCTCCGCCGTCAGCCGATGACGATCGCGTATGGGACTTGCGAATTGCCGAAAAAGTTCTGAACTACACGGACCAATCCCAATCGCTCGAGTGGTACAGCCGATCACCGCCGACAGGGGATGAAGTTCTCCTTTTGCCAAATAGAGTATTCGTCTTCGTCTTGCGAACACGTCGCTGGGGTAAGACACCGAGATTGTGTGCGTTTTAATGCTGGAGATCTAGCTACTAATACTGTTTATCATAGCTTCGATTCCGCTTGGAGCTGGAAACGCTGGTACCGATGATCATAGTCTAACACGCATGACGGCAGATCCATCCGCATGGGATTCCCTTCAGATTGACCAGAATCACAGGTCCATTATCCAATCTCTGATGGCCACTCATTTCCGCAAGAACAAGTCTGAACGTCGACAATTTGACCTCATTCGGGACAAAGGAAAAGGGCTCATTGTCTTGCTACATGGTGTCCCAGGCGTAGGGAAGACGTCAACAGCCGGTGAGTCGATGTTTGAAATGGGTTTTAAGTGCTCGGTACACTGACAAACTTAGAAACTGTTGCACAGTATTACAACAAACCTTTGCTGCCGATTACTTGCGGTATATTGTCTTAGCCCCAAATACCATGGCAAAACCTGATTGTCAACTAGGTGATCTCGGAATGAGCCCAAATGATGTCGAATCCAAGCTTCAGCACTCATTTCAGCTGGCTCAAGCCTGGGAATGTGTACTGCTTCTTGACGAAGCTGATGTGTTCCTCGCCGAACGCAGTCAAGACAACATTGAGCGAAATGCCCTCGTATCTGGTAAGTCAAGGGGACAATCAGCGTCGCAGGCAATTCAATAACTAACCAACAAAGTGTTCCTTCGCGTGATGGAGTACTACGAAGGCATCCTCTTCCTCACAACAAACAAGGTTGGCTCTTTTGACGAGGCCTTCAAGTCCCGCATGTCAATGGCCCTCTACTACCCTCCCCTGAAACAAGACCAAACGGAAAGGATCTGGGCTGTTCAACTTGAGCGCACCGAGAAGCTCTCCGTCGAAGCTGCCCCTGACGACGTGGACCAGCACGTGCAGTTTGACCGCGTGGAGATCATGACCTTCGCCAACAAGCTCTGGATGTTGCAGGATCTCAAACCAGAGTTCAAGCCCGTTTGGAACGGGCGACAGATTCGCAACGCTTTCCAGACGGCTGTCGCGCTGGCAGAGTGGCACCAGAAAGAGAACAACATCAAAGGTCTGATCAAAGTCAAGGGAGAGCATTTTGCGAAGGTCGCACAGGTTTCGAATGATTTCAATAAGTACCTGTGGGAGGTGAAGAAACAACGGACTGATGAAGCGTTGGCATTCAAGAAGGCCCACCGTTTTGACCAGTTTATCTCGTCTCAACTCGGCGGCGGCACAGGCAATCCTGGGCAGCAACAGACCACGGGGCTTGGGGGTTGGGACGGTTCGATGAACGCGGGGATGATGGGGTTCGGCGGGCAGACTGGGACGGGGATGGCAGGACCTGGGTTTGGAGGTGGTGGCATGCAACCTCAGGGCGGATTTGTGAGCCCTCAGTCATGGCAGAGTGGATTCGGTGGTATGACGGGTAATGCTACCAACATGGGATCAGGGATGCATCCTGGCGGTGTCAATGTCCAAGTCATGCCCGGCCAGAGCATAGCTGGGTTGACAGATCAGCAGCAGACACCATCGACGAATCCTCAACAAGGAGGGTCGATGCAAGCAATGTTCGGCCAAAGCAGTTGGGCATGATCAAGACGGAACCGATGGTTATTATGAACGCAAATTGTAACATTGGACAGATTGAATAGTATGACGAAATGGCTTGGTGATTGAATCTTGGACACATCGTCTACCTTTTACCCAGCCTTCCCACGCTCAGCCATGAAAGTATCATGAAGCTCCGCCCAGGGTCGTATTCTCGGATTCGCCAGCGTCTCTGGATAAACACAGAAATCCCTCCCGGGCCCAAAAGGCCCCCTGCCGCGGTTACACCCGCCAAGCTGTAGGTAAGCTCATGAGGATAAAGATCGACTAGGGTTTAAATGCAGTCATCAGTCGAGATTGAGTCTCTAGACCTCTCGGACTCGAGGTCTGAAAGAGGGCAAGGCAAATCCGTAGTTACCCCTCTTCTCATATTGTGGCAAAGACTCTGTTCCCGTAGTACAAAAGACACTTCAAGTTCTAGCGCATCAATGGACAGATGTCATTCTCAAGGAACTCTAGAAAGCATTGAGAGCTAAATTCCTCGTCATGTTCCCCCACCAAGCCATCCTGGGCGTCGGCGCCTTACTGCTCCTCAGCATAAGCCCCGCCATCGCCAAACCCCCCAGCAACAACACCTACGACTACATCGTAATCGGAAGCGGTCCCGGCGGCGGCCCCCTCGCAAGCACCCTCGCGCGCGCCGGCTTCTCCACCCTCCTCCTCGAAGCCGGCGGCGACGAGAGCCACGACATCGGCACCGCGCTCGCGAACGGCGGGTACGCGCTCACCGCCGCCAACAGCTGGGGCTTCTGGGTGCGGCACCACGCCGACCCGGAAGTCGAGCTGCGCAACAACCACCTCACGTGGCGGTTCCCGAACGGCACGTTCTGGGTCGGCAATGGTGAGCGGGCGCCGCCCGGCGCGGAGCTGATGGGCGTGTACTACCCGCGCGGCGCGACGATCGGGGGCTCGGCGGTGGTGAATGCGATGGCGACGCTGTTGCCGAGTGATTCGGACTGGGATTACGTGGCGAATATCACGGGCGATGAGTCTTGGGGGTAATGTTTTGATCGGGGGATGAGAGGAGGGAGGTGGAGCTAACGAGATGCAGGCACGAGAACATGAGGCGGATGTTTGAGAAGGTTGAGAAGAACAATTACCTCCCTGAAGACACGCCAGGACACGGGTTCGGCGGCATCCTCGAGACCAACATGGGAAACGGCACGCAGTATGTTCCCTACCCGGGTCTGGTCGAGGTGTACAAGGCGCAGATTAGGTCACTTGGATTAGATCCCGAGAAGGTAATCGAGATGCTCGGCAGCGATCCCAATTATCTCGCCGATGATCGGGACACTACGGAGGGTCTCTGGGGCATGGTGTTTCATGCAAGTGCAAGGTGGGAGAGGTCGACCCCGCGAGACTACATCTTCGAGACAATTGCGGCGAATAATGAGGACGGGTCAGCCAAGTACCCCCTCACACTATCGCCAACCTCTTTGGCCACCAGGGTTTTGTTTAAGCAAGGGGAAGACGATAAGCCGATAGCAGTCGGAGTTGAATACCTCAAAGGCCTTTCAACATACGGCGCCGACCCGAGGCGGAACGCTTCAGCGTCAGGCGAGACCAAGCGAGCTTTCGCGTCTCGAGAGGTAATTGTTTCGGGGGGCACCTTTAATTCTCCACAACTCTTGCAACTCAGCGGGATCGGCAACCGACAAGATCTCGAGGCGCTGGGCATCAAAGTTGTGGCCGACTTGCCTGGCGTGGGGCGAAATCTCCAGGACAATCAAGAATTTCCGGTCGTCGGACTTGCTCAGACCAACTTCACGGCGATACTCAACCCCAACGAACCGACTTGCGCAAAAGGTATGCCGAATGATCCGTGCTACGATCTCTGGAAGAAAGGTCTGGGTCCGTACATGCGACCTGGGTTCAACTCGAATGTCCTGTTGATGCGGTCAAATCATTCGGTGAATGGGGAACGCGACATCTTTGTGTTCAGCGTACAAGGCGGCGCGTTCCGGGGTTTCTGGCCGGACGTGAACCAGCCCGAGCTCTTTGGGACACCAAACACATCAGGCTTTTCGACAGTCAAGATCAATCCGCAAAACGGGGCGGGATACCTGAAGCTCCGGTCGGCGGACCCGACGGAGCCACCCGAGATCAACTTCCAGCTTTACGAGGAGGGTGCCGAGACAGACCTCGGAGCGTTGATTGATGTTGCCGCGTGGGGCCGTCGGGTGATGAGCGATGTTGAGGGGCCCTGGGGTCCGCTGGAGTCGGCTGAACCGCCGTGTTCGAAAATCGGGAGCGATGGCCGATGCGAGGACGGAGACGGGACGTCGGACGAGGAATGGATCCGGGCCCAAACGTTTGGCCATCATCCGTCGGGGACTTGTGCCATTGGGCCGGTGGAGGATGGCATGGCAGTGCTGGATTCTCGGTTTCGGGTGCACGGCGTTGAGGGGTTGAGGGTTGTGGATGCGAGTGTATTTCCACGTGCTCCGGGCGCGTTCCCCTTGATCGCGACGTTCATGGTCAGCCAGAAAGCGTCGGAGGTGATATTGGAAGATGCCGCGGCGTCATTTTGAATGTGTGGTAGTTGCAGCGAAAGATGGGACGAGCTAGAGATGGTCAAACGAAGGCAGAGTTCTTCCGTGCAGTTTGGGGTGCCGGTCGGTGTACGAGCCACAATCCACGTCGTCCTGGTGTCGCGTCGCAATCACGGCAAACCGGGTGTGTCAGGCGTATTGAAGCGTGTCGTATCCGTACGCGGACTGGGTTGAGGGCAATGGCACGATGGGCCATCGTCCCAAGACCAGATGAATGGGCGTCTGATGTTGCGGCATGTTCCAGTAGGTGGGATATGTGAAAGAAATGCATGTGAAAGTATTCTGTCTCGTGAAATTGGTGGAGATGTACGTGGCTGAGGTGTGGCTCTGTTAGCGGGGCTAACTGTGGCCCGTGCTTGATGTGCCGCCACAGCCACCCCCACCCCTGGCACGAGCTCCTCTCGGTCGCGGGCGATGACGTTTGGCAGTCGCCCCCCTCGCCCAGAGGAGGTCTTGCTGTGCTTGCTTTGCCCAGCATTGGACCCTGAGTGGCCCCTGCTCCTTGCTTTCCCGCCATTGCAGCACCAGCAGTGGTCGCCCCTGCCCCTTCCCCGGCACACTGAGGACTGAGAATGACGGGTCGCCCCTCCCTCAACAGGGCGCTGCGGCGTCAAGCTTCGTCACTGCTGGTGAGAGGCCGCCCCCTTCCCTTGCCCTTCCATCGCCTTCTGCCTCCTGGTTTCCTAGGATTTGCCTTGGCTAAAAGGTAAAGCGCGTCCTTGTGACCCTTCGTCTGATCTTGATTCCTCTCCAACTTTCCCATACTCGAGAATTCGACACGTCGTCATAAAAGCCCATCCATTCACGCGTTTCCCAACGTCGAGTCTACGATTATTCCTCCTTTGACCGCCTGATTCAACACACATCCTCTGTGAGACAGCACCCACATACATCCCTTGTTTGATATCCGCTCCCGTCTCCAGTTACCCCTCAGAAACCACAAAACTCCCTCCTACAACTTCTTTGTTTCCAAACAACACACCGACTTCAGGCAAAAAACTACAATCATCATGTCCAGCACCACCGTCCACGTCAAGAACATCGCTGCGGCGACTGAGGATAAGGAGATCAAGGACTTCTTCAGCTTCTGGTGAGTACATTTCCCCGCACTTTCGAACACTGCGAAGGCATCGAGATGGCCTGACGTCTGCTACCCGGACGCTTTCCGCACCCTTTCTTCGGACAGAAGCTCACAGACCGCAGCGGCAAGATCACAGACATTCAGGTCACCCCCGCCGGCGAGACCAAGGATGCCGCCGTCACCTTCGAGAAGGAGACTGCTGCTAAGACTGCCCTCCTGTTGAATAACACTCAGCTTGGCACCTCCCACATTACCGTTGCCAGTGCCAGCGGCGACTCCAGCGACGACGGCTCCCACTTCAAGGACAACGCGAACCGTGATACCGACGAGATCACTCAGGAGGAGAAGCCCCGCTCTCGCATCCTGGCCGAGTACCTCGCGCAGGGCTACGTCGTCGGAGATGCCGCTCTCCAGCGCGCCATCGAGCTTGACACCCAGCACGGCGTCTCTAGCCGCTTCTTCGGCACCCTCCAGAACCTCGACCAGAAATACCACGCCACCGACCGCGCGAAGGCTACGGACCAGTCCTACGGCATTACCGCGAGGGCTCAGGGTCTCTTTGGCGGCTTGAGCTCGTACTTTGAGAAGGCTACCAGCTCCCCCACCGGCAAGCGCATCGTCACCTTCTACCAGGACGGCTCGAGACAGGTTCAGGATATTCACACCGAGGCCCGCCGCTTGGCAGACTTGAAGAAGGAGCAGCACGGCGGCAGCGCCTATAAGGCTTCCGGTCTCGAGAGATTCCTTGGTAAGGAGAAGGAGAAGGCCGTGCCGCCTGCCACTGGCGAGACCATCGGCACTCAGGCCCCGACCCAGCCCGACCCCACGACGGTTGTTCCCCTCTCCAAGCCCACCGAGGCCACCACCGAGAAGACCGCGTAAGAGTAGTGATTAGCACGAAAAGGACACGAGGGTAGGCGTTGGCTGGTTTCATTAGGCACGAACGTTTTATGTCTGCAATGCGATGACTGCGGTGCACGAGGTTCTATTAGGCACTCTAGGTAGTTACGGCTTCAATGCGATTGAACGCATCAATTATTCGTTACGGGAAATTTACCCATAAACTTGGCTGTGTGATTTGAGGCTTTTACCCGCGATGACGTGACAACATAGTGCATTACCATAAGCATCTTGCATGTACATCGGTATGGCCCGCAATTTTGGCATGAATTCAGGCTAAATGGTATGCACCATGCGTACAAGATACATCCAAGATTACGAGAGTTGGTAATTTTGTGTGCCACGATAGAAGCTGTTGCGGAGGGGATGGATGACACAAATATCACAGACAATAAACCACATAAGTGACCAATGCACTTTCGTTTGGTATTGGCTTGTGAATCTATTGATAC